CATCACGAAATCGAACATCATGAACCACATCTGGAACACTACGAACACTATCATCACGAATAAGACGAAGAGAGAGAGAGAGAAAGAAACGAGTTGAGTAAAGCTTAAGAAAAGCACTGAAAGCCGCAATCGTTTGCTTTTAGTGATCTAAAATTGGTAGTTTGACCTTGGTTTTCATAGCAGTGCCGCCAAATTTTTAGTAAATGTTGTGGTTAATTTTGAAACTTTTTATACAATGGTCACACTTGTTGCAAATGGAGCGCATTCACTAATTATTATAGAACAATTAACTCGTATTTTTAAATGTGTATATTGTTTAAATAGAAGACTGAGCATTCGAATGCTCGTCAATTGTAAATTAAATAAAAAGAGTGTTTCATAAGGAAAATATTATTAGTTCAGTCGACTCGGCGTGAATTTGCTACGTTAAAAGATCTCGGCGGTATTTATAATTATAACGCAAGCTTTTTTACAAGCTCTATAAGGACTTAAGCAACACTTCCAATAATTTGGACCAACATTTAATATTTGCTCCTAGTAAGGTTTCTAATGTTTCGATACCAGGTTTTCTAGCTAGTCCATGTAAATATAACTAAAAATCTCGTTACTAATCATCGATATCAACCAGGTCTAGATATTCTAAACCATATGCATCCTTTTTTGACCAAGTGGAGAGTATATAAACTTACTAAAGCGTTTGCAGTAGTGAATCAAGCTATCGATAGGCCTTGGAATGGTAAGGCAGAAAGCTTGCTTCACTTGTATAGTTATTAGAAATTGATGTAGACCTCGCTAAATATAGACCAACACCGTAGATTTATATACTGATTATAGCTACGACTTTCCCAAAAAGTTTCCAAATTTTATTTTTATGCATTTTCGTTCCCCCTAACGGGTCAGCTTCTACGTCACTTTGACACCCATAATAATTGCTTAACTCCTTCTCCTTTAGAAATAGAGTTTAACAGAGTTGTTGGAAATTCTGAGATTCGTCATTTTATAAATTTATTCTTGTAAAGCAACACATAGGCCAAACAACAAACTTATATATCTTTTAGAGCTCATATGATGCTCTTCAAACTTCAATAAATTAAGATCGAACCAAACAGTTTGTTTATAGTTAATGAAATTTATTTCATTTATTTGCTTGTGGTTAAATATATGACAAGCTATTATAGATTTTCGAAAATCTCATTTAAGATTATCGGCCAAGCTTGTAGGCATTGCTACACAATCAAACTTTCCAGTAACCGGTAATTTTTTCTTTACCAGCCATTTATCACTGGATACATCGTAAACCTCGACAGTATCGTCCCACTGTGCAGGACCGATCACGCCACCAAATGCCCACAATTGATTACCTATCGAGGCGGCGCAGATGTATCTACGCGCGACATTCAACGAAGCTATCTGTAATAAAAATATTTAATGTTTCAAAAAAAAATCGAAAAATATCGTATACGACCCAACCTTAGTCCATTTGTCTTGCTTTGGATCGTAACGTTCGACGGTTTTCAAGTCACTAAAACCTCCACTCATTGCGTAAATATAACCTTGATGCGCAACCACCTGAGATGGAAATATATTGTATTGTGATTTGGTAAAGTTGCTTAAAAATTAATACTGGATCGAAAAATATTTTTCATGCAAAACAATTATGTTCATTTGGTGTACAAATAGTGGTACAACTTAATGCTTATACCTAAACATTAACAACTAATTATCGTATTAATTATGTCTCAATTTACAAAATATAATCGGCAATCGGCCAAATTATCAATCTTTAGCCAAATTTGTACTTACAGCTGGACTTTCTCGTGCTTCAGTCATTGGGTTACAATAATGCCAGCTATTAGTGGCAACATTATAACGGTCTACTTTGTTTAAGGCGCGCAAATCCTTACCACCTATTAAGTATATGTCATCATTCAAGATGGCAACGCCGGCTGAAGCCCGACGTGTAGGAATGGCAGATCTATACTCCCAACGCCCAATTGACGTACTGTAACTGTAATATATAATATTACATAAATATAATATGATATTAGAATAGCACTAATATCTACTGTTTACCAGACGTCTTACCATTCCACACTAATCAGCGAGTCATTGCCAGCCTTACCACCAAAAACATATATAGCATTATTCACTACTGCAACACTAGTGCTAGTACGCTTATCTTGCAATGACGGCATTTCTGTAAATTTTTTTGTTAGCAAATTGTAGCCGAGCACAGCCTTGCTTATACCATCCATGCTGCGGCCGCCGATGAAGAAGAGACTATTCTCCATAAATGCTGTGCTGAAATAATATCTTTTAATTTCCAAGCCTGTAGCTTTTATCCATTCCTCTTTAGCCTGATTGTAAAGTAATATATCCTTATAACCTAACCAATTCTTAAAAACCAATTGGTTCGTTATTAAATATATATGTAAATAAAAATCCCCACTTACTTCACCCCAGTTCTGTACCGCCACCCACGTAGGCAAGTCGCCACGTCTTTTAAGCGCTTCTGTTGCTAAACCTTCACAACCGGGTAATGGTTTAATTTGCTGTCTTAGAAAATCGTTGTCAAATTCGGTAAGTGCAAGCGAACCGATCAAATCGGGCAGATATTGCTGACGCTCGGTTGCTTTGTACTCATACCAGCATTTGATGGCCCAAAATATATCCGCTTGGGAAACTACATTGACGTCCAATTCTTTTATGATAAATTTCCACTGTGCCACATTGAGATCAAATATTTCGCCATTTTGGTTCAACTAAAAGGGGATTTTTGTGTAAAAGACTTAAATAAATAAGGGCTTTATAATAAAAGAAAAAACAACGTTTCATAATTATTAGCTATACCTGACTATTTGTCTAGTGAGGTCCTCCTTGACTCTTTCACTTATAGAGAAGCGAACAAACTTATTAGTTCTTATCCCAATTAACTCTTAAACTAACTCGATCTTTCACGGGTAATCAATAATACCCTCCAAAATTTTATGAAAGTAAACAGTGATAAGAAGCTTGACTAAAAACAAGTTGTGTATAATAGCTCTACGAAAGATGATGGAAAATTCAATTATCCCTATATTGTAGGCATGTTTCATAAGAGGTTCGAACTTCTCTCCCCCTTCTCTTTCAACAATTTAGAGTTAAAAGCTTAACCCATTATTGCGTGAGCTCTGAACGCATTAGACTTCTGAATTAAGTACTAGATGACAATTGAAATATGTCTGAGTTCACACTCTAACTTTGCAATCAGTTTGGCGAAAGCCTCCAGTCTAGCTCCCTTCCATACCTTTTCAACTCAGCCTAACGCTTCCTTATACAGCTTGTTGATATCGTAGTTCCAACCCGCACTCTCACACCTAGGATCTGACGCGGCGTTTGCTTTGATCACCTTTACGAAGGCCGTGGATATAGCCGCCGTGACCCACTTGCGATCACACACTCTCAGTTCTATTGAGTCAGTCCGTGTAGCGATTTCGCCGAAGGTTGGTGCTGCTCCCTGCGAGTTTTCTTATCGAAGGAGTATTCCCTATCATGCTATCCGCCATCGGTTGGGACTCACTCGAACTCTATGTTCCGCAATTTTCGTCGCCATTAAGCACCCTTCTAGCCCACTCAAGTGTACTGGCATGTTGCTCAGATTCCTCAACAGTCTTCCTACCACCTTACCGAGCAATTATCTTTGCTGCCATGCGGCTGTCGGACTGCTACTACTTTGCTGCCGTCGCCTGATTTCCACCGGAGCATTAAATATTGCCTGAGGTCTCCGAACCCCACGAGTAAACTCTGCTTGTGCTGGCGAATCCGCCTCGCACATCAGCCCTACCTTCGTTTCCAGCCAAATCCTTTAAAATGTAATGTTTTTCACTCACTTTCATGGAGAACGATTCCCAATCGGGACACTGTCCAATTTCAAGGTAGGTTCCGACATATTTCCACCCAGATCTATTTTTTTTTCTTTGTTGTTGTTTTTGTTTTCCCTATTCATGTCTGTTGGGCCGGTTCGTTAGGAATTTTGACAGCTCGTGAAGGCCGCAGCTCATTTAGCGTTACCCAGGATATATCGCGGGGAAGTGACTAACTTATAACCCACAGAGAATTCTCGCAAAAATTTTAACTCACCTCCTTAAAGTTCTTCACAATATAAGCGAGTAAACGCGTTTCAAATTTTTTGTACTCCATTTCCGTTGCCAATGTAATCAGCTTGCGTACTAAGAAATCATTTATATGATCCATCATGTAATTTACACAAATGTCAACAACATCGTATAAACGTAACAGCATAGCGCCTTTGGCCATACGCTCTGCATTACCAGCCGTAATATCCGTCTGTCCGTTGTAGCAGTAGATTACCAATTGTTCAAAAGTATCACTTTCCATTTTCGTTACCGTTAGCGAGTTGCAATCGTCGTCGGCATTGTCGAAGAGTTCTAGAAAATATGGGCTTGCCGCTGCGAGAATCAGGCGATGTGCTGTAAATCTAATAAAACGGTTTTATTCTCAACTCAAATATATGTAATAATCTGAGTTAAGAATTTCAACAACAACAATTCAACACAACAATTTACTTATATTTCGTGTAGGGAAACTCGAATAAAATATCCGTGTACTTCTGTTCGTTGTAGAGCTTATATACAATTTGCATTATCTCAAAATTGTGGCGGACATCATTGCGTACATTAACGGGTGTGGATAGTCCAGATACGCTAAGTGACATTTTTCTGCTAGAAATGACAATAAAATCAAAATTAAAAAATACAACTCCTGCTCTTGTGGCACTNGGAAAAATGAAAGCCAGCATCAAGTAACTGGAAAGCTCTCTGATGTACAACTTTTGGTTGAACATGTTATACAAAGCATATTCGCGAATTTCGTTTAATTTCTACTGTCTTGAGAACTTTCCGGCGCCGCTCATTCCAACTTGTGGTCCCTATATTTCTCTGTAATTTACCTCACCTCATTGATATTTTCCAAAAAATAATATTCTTAAAAAATGTTTGAGATTACGGTTTTTGTTAAGTTATGATTCCGAGTTTTCACGTAAGATAGAAATGCTCTTCTCTTCACTTTTCGGCTATTGCAATGCCAGCGTAACTCTACTAAGCAATAAATAAATCATTGTTAAGAAAAAATAGTCCCTTGAACAGCATATGTTATATAAAACAACCCGGATTTGTAATCCGTTATCATTCGACCATTGCTATCAAAGTTTACAAGTTGGGTTGGGTACTTTAGTATCACCCTACTATGTATAAATATATATCGACAGAATTTGTAGTGATATTATTGCTATATTATATATGGAGCGTGGGAACTTTATAATTGTAATTACAAATCAGAAAAATAAGCGGGAGAGAGTAAGACCAACACAGGGAACCTTAGGAATCGAAACAGCATTATGTGATAATACACAAAAATGATAAATCACATCAAAGTGTTCAATTTCATTATTTCTATCCGGTACCGGTCTATATCAAGGACAAACACTTGCTCAAGAATCCAATCGAAATTGGCAGTATAAAGCAGAAATTGAAAATTTTTGTCCCGAATTTTTGCCACAATTACGGTTTGGTCTTGGAAGAAGAGAGCGTGTCACATTTCCACGAGCATCTGGAGCCCTACGAACAGTATCACCACGAATAAGTGAACGGAATAACAAACGATGAAGAGATAGATAGAGAAGCGAATTGCTTTTAGTGATCTAAATTTGGTAGTTTGACTCCGTTTTTCATAGCAGTGCACATTTACTAATTATTATAGATAAATAAATTTGCATTTACTCGTTGTAGATTAAATTTAAATAGTGTCTCAAGAAAGATATTACTAGTTTATGAATGTTGTAGTCAAGCCGACTTTGCGTGCGTTTGGTTCATTACAGGATCTCAGCGATATTTATAATTATGACGGAAGCTTTTTTACAAGCTCTATAAGGAATTAAGCAACCCTTTCAGTTTGGACCAACATTTACTATTTGCTCTTAGTAAGGTTTCTAATGTTTCGATACCAGATTTTCTTGTTATTCCATGTAAATATAACTAAAAATCTCGTTACTAATCATCGATATCAACCAGGTCTAGATATTCTAAACCATATGCATCTTTTTTTGTTGAAGTCGGAAGTTTTTATATTTACTAAAGCGTTTGCAGTAGTGAATCGAGCTATCGATAGGCCTTGGAATGGCCTAGACTTATCACGATCAAAAAGGATGAACCGAAAATCTTAATCCAGGCATTATGTAACACTTTTCTTGACTTTAATAGACATACAAATCGAAGATTAATATCGTAACATCCTTTAGCTTTGTTTAAACGTTAGGGTTTTCAATCGTTCTGGTAAGGCAAAATGCTTGCGTCACTTTTATAGTTATTAGAAATTGATGTAGACCTCGCTAAATATAGACCAACACCGTAGATTTATATACTGATTATAGCTACGACTTTCCCAAAAAGTTTCCAAATTTTATTTTTATGCATTTTCATTCCCCCTAACGGGTCAGCTTCTACGTCACTTTGAGATCCATAAAAATTGCTTAACTCCTTCTCCTTTAGAAATAGAGTTTAACAGAGTTGTTGGAAATTCTGAGATCCATAATTTTATAAATTTATTCTTGTAAAGGAACACTTAGGCCAAACAACAAACTTATATATCTTTTGGAGCTCATATGATGCTTTTCAAACTTGAATAAATTGAAATCGAACCAAACAGAATATTTATACATAGTTAATGAAATTTATTTTATATAATATAATATTTGTTTGTATTTCAATATTTTATAGGCTATTATATTTTTTCGAAAATCTCATTTAAGATTATCGGCCAAGCTTGTTGGCAGTGTAACACAATCAAACTCTCCAGTTACCGGCAATTTTTTCTTTACCAGCCACTTATCGCTGGTCACATTGTAAACCTCGACAGTATCGTCTCTCTGCGCAGGACCAATCACACCACCAAATGCCCACAATTGATCACCTATTGCGGCGGCGCAGATATGTCTACGTGCCACATTCAACGAAGCTATCTGGAATGAAATATGTATAAGCAGTTTGAATAAAAAAAAATCGAAAATCTGAGAATTTCGTATAGGACCCAACCTTAGTCCATTTGTCTTGTTTTGGATCATAACGTTCCACAGTTTTCAAATCTTTAGGACATCCACCTATTGCGTAAATATAACCTTTATGCGCAACCACCTGAGATGAAAATATTTTCCTTACATTATTCTGTTATTTTGGAAAGATTCTAAAAAATTAGGAATAAATCTAAAAGTAATGAGAGCGATCAGATCATAGACGTAAATATAAATAATACGAAAATGAGAAAAACTATAAAAACTCTTTTGCTGGTAAAACAAGTATGTCCGCTAGATGTCGGTATATTCATAAATAGTGAATAATCATATGAACGGTACTTAATGCTTATATCTAAATATAAACAACTAATTATCGTATTAATTATGCCTCAATTTACAAAATATAACCGGGAATCGGCTAAAATATCACTCTTTAGCCAAATTCATACTTACACCTGGATTTTCACGTGCTTCAGCCATTCCTTCGCAATAATACCATCGTTTTGTGACAATATTATAACGCTCTACACTATTTACGACGTGAAAATCCTTACCACCTATTAAGTAGATATCATCATTCAAGATAGCAACACCGGCTAAAGTGCGATACATAAAAAGGTGAGACGTATACTCCCAACGCCCAGTTGACGTACTGTAACTGTAATAAATCATAACATGGTATTAGAACAGCACTCGTACCTGCTGTTTACCAAAAATCTTACCATTCCATACTAAGCAGCGGATCCATACTATCATTCGTACCACCAATAACATATATAGAATTATTCACTACTGCAACACTACTGCTAAAACGATCAGTTTTCAATGATGGTATTTCTGAAAATTTGTTTGTTAGCAAATTGTATCTGAGCACAGTCGCGCTTGCGCCATTCGTTTTAATTCCACCAATGAAGAAGAGACTATTCTCCATAAATGCTGTGCTGAAATAAAATTTTTCAATTTCCAAGCTTATAACTTTTACCCATTCCTCTTTAGCCTGATTGTAAAGTAATATGTCCTTATAACCAAAACGATCCTTCAAAATCAATATGTTCGTACACAAGTATATAAATATTATATAACTACCGACTTACTTCACCCCTAGTCTGTACCGCCACCCACGAAGGCAGTTCGCCACGTCTTTTAAGCGCTTCTGTTGCTAAACCTTCACAACCGGGTAATGGTTTAATTTGCTGTCGAAGAAAGTCGCTATCGAATTCGTTAAGTGCAAGCGAACCGATCAAATCGGGTAAATATTGCTGACGCTCGGTGGCTTTGTACTCATACCAGCCTTTGATGGCCCGAAATATATCCGCTTGGGCAACTACATTGACGTCCAATTCTTTTATGATAAATTTCCATTGTGCCACATTAAGATCAAATATTTCGCCATTTTGGTTCAACTAAAAGGGGATTTTTATGTGAAAGACCCAGTGCTTTATAAATAAAAGGAATTTTTAGTAACAGCGTTTTTTCAAATGGTGTGAAAATAGCTATATGTGACTATTTGTCTAGTGAGCACCTCAACTTTCCTTGACCCTTTCGCTTATATACACCCAGCAATCTAATTGCTTCCTATTTCAGTTTGTGCAAGTGCAAGTTATATTATGATATCTGAGCTTTTATACCAGTTCGATCTTTTAAGGATACTCTCTACGAAATTTTATGAAAGTACAGCGTGATAACGAGTTTCACTTACGTTAGACTAAAAACAAGTTCTGTATATAAGCTCTACAATAGATGTCCCAAGTTGCCATAATCTATTGTACAATAAAAAGGTTTTGTAAGCGGTTCTCTCCTTCTTTTACCTAGACATTTTTGGTTCAAAAGCTTATCCGCTTCTTATGTGATCTTTGAATGCCTTGGACTTCTGTATTGAGTACTTGATGGCAATTCGAATGTTTCTGAGTTCACACCCAGACTTCGAGTATATCTATAGTTAGAGTATGAGCGTTTTCTAAGAGTACGTTTGATTCAACGTAGTTAAGAGGCGGGTTAAAGCTTTTAAAATCATCTTAATGTCAGATAATTTCAATCACCCTTCATCTATCAACTCGAAGAAAAGCCTAACTAAAATCGGAAAAAGAACTTATAAAATATTGTTCTGTTTTATTTCTTTGTTAGAGGAATTTCCGCAGGAATTTTCACTCACCTGCTCGAAATTCTTCACAATATAAGCGAGTAAACGCGTTTCAAATTTTTTGTACTCCATTTCCGTTGCCAATGTAATCAGCTTGCGTACTATGAAATCATTTATATGATCCATCATGTAATTTACACAAATGTCAACAACATCGTATAAACGTAACAGCATAGCGCCTTTGGCCATACGCTCCAACTTTTGGTTGAACATTTATACAATATTCGCGAATTTCGTTTAATTTCTACTGTCTTGAGAACTTTCCGGCGCCATTCCAACTTGTGGTCCCTATATTTCTCTATTTACCTCACCTCATTGATATTTTCCAAAAATAATATTCTTAAAAATGTTTGAGATTACGGTTTTTGTTAAGTTATGATTCCGAGTTTTCACGTAAGATAGAATGCTCTTCTCTTCACTTTTCGGCTATTCAATGCCAGCGTAACTCTACTAAGCAATAAATAAATCATTGTTAAGAAAATAGTCCCTTGAACAGCATATGTTATATAAAACAACCCATTTGTAATCCGTTATCATTCGACCATTCTATCAAAGTTTACAAGTTGGGTTGGGTACTTTAGTATCACCCTACTATGTATAAATATATATCGACAGAATTTGTAGTGATATTATTGCTATATTATATATGGAGCGTGGGAACTTTATAATTGAATACAAATCAGAAAATAAGCGGGAGAAGACCAACACAGGGAACCTTAGGAATCGAAAACAGCTATGTGATAATACACAAAATGATAAATCACATCAAAGTGTTCAATTTCATTATTTCTATCCGGTACCGGTCTATATCAAGGACAAACACTTGCTCAAGAATCCAATCGAAATTGGCAGTATAAACAGAATGAAAATTTTGTCCCGAATTTTTGCCACATACGGTTTGGTCTTGGAAGAAGAGAGCGTGTCACATTTCCACGAGCATCTGGAGCCCTACAGACATATCACCACGAATAAGTGAACGGAATAACAAACGATGAAGAGATAGATAGAGAAGCGAATTGCTTTTGTGATCTAAATTTGGTGTTGACTCCGTTTTCATAGCAGTGCACATTTACTAATTATTATAGATAAATAAATTTGCATTTACTCGTTGTAGATTAATAAATAGTGTCTCAAGAAAGATATTACTAGTTTATGAATGTTGTAGTCAACCGACTTTGCGTGCGTTTGGTTCATTACAGGATCTCAGCGATATTTATAATTATGACGGAAGCTTTTTACAAGCTCTATAAGGAATTAGCAACCCTTTCAGTTTGGAACATTTACTATTTGCTCTTAGTAAGGTTTCTAATGTTTCGATACAGATTTTCTTGTTATTCCATGAAATATAAAAATCTCGTTCTAATCATCGATATCAACCAGGTCTAGATTTCTAACCATATGCATCTTTTTGTTGAAGTCGGAAGTTTTATATTTACTAAAGCGTTTGCAGTAGTGAATCAGCTATCGATAGGCCGAATGGCTAGACTTATCACGATCAAAAGGATGAACCGAAAATCTTAATCCAGGCATTATAACACTTTTCTTGACTTTAATAGACATACAAATCGAAGATTAATATCGTAACATCCTTGCTTTGTTTAAACGTTAGGGTTTCAATCGTTCTGGTAAGGCAAAATGCTTCGTCACTTTTATGATTATTAGAAATTGATGAGACCTCGCTAAATATAGACCAACACCGTAATTATATATACTGATTATAGCTACGACTTTCCCAAAAGTTTCCAAATTTTATTTTTATGCATTTTCATTCCCCTAACGGTCACTACGTCACTTTGAGATCATAAAATTGCTTAACTCCTTCTCCTTTAGAAATAGAGTTTAAAGAGTTGTTGAATCAGATCCATAATTTTATAAATTTATTCTTGTAAAGGAACACTTAGGCCAAACAAACTATATATCTTTTAGACTCATGATGCTTTTCAAACTTGAATAAATGAAATCGAAAAGAATATTTATACATAGTTAATGAAATTTATTTTATAATATAATATTTGTTTGTATTTCAATATTTTATAGGCTATTATATTTTTCGAAAATCTCATTTAAGATTATCGCCAACTTGTTGGCAGTGTTACACAATCAAACTCTAGTTACCGAATTTTTCCTTATCCAGCCTCGCTGGTCACTTGTAAACCTCGACAGCAAAATTAAAAAATACAACTCCTGCTCTTGTGGCACTGCAATGTACTGACTCGACGCCACAGTGGAAATTCCATTTTATACTTAAAGCTTTCGTGAAGCTTGTGCGTGCAACCGCAGTTGCAAAGTTCTATTTTAAACTATCTTCATGGAAAATGTATAATATGTATTGTTATCAATTTCGAATTATTATTTTTTCTTTGAAAGAGATAAGCGGAATATATGCATAAGGGTGGTCGCAGAAGTGTCTCACCAGATAACATAAAGATACTTTTTTATGCTTAAAGTTTATGAAGATAAATGGGATGGAAAAATGAAAGCCAGCATCAAGTAACTGGAAAGCTCTCTGATGTA